TCCTTCTTAAGTAGATAGAATATGCCTTTGGGTATATTATAATAAGATCCCCAGATACCCCATATTCTATCTACTTAAGGGGGACTATAACCTCAGCCTCCATTGTAAGCAGTATGATGTGTATCCACTACGTGCGCATAAACATAACCTCAGCTTCCATTCTAAGAAGTATGATGTGTATCCCGTACCTACACCATACGGTTTCTGTATAACATGTATTTTATTTGGCCTCCCCAACAGCAACTGAGGTTGGACCCGAAATTCTTGGGCACTGTGCCCGAGAAAGGTTTCGCGACGTCCATCGCCCCGCTGATGTCTGAGTCCACAGCAAATATTCAGGGTGTTGGTGAGTATACCGACTGCTGCGCAAAACTCAGTGCCCCTGTTTCTGGATACAAGACTGAGGAATTCCCAACTGAGGAGGTTAGAGCTGTAGTCACTCGTTACGTGGATGCCATGCGTGAGATTGCTACCTCCTTGTTGGACATTCTGGTCATCGTTTTCGAGATTCCAGAGGAGAACTTGACTCAGATGAGACGTTTGGGCGTTGATGCAACCAGTCTGCAGAGATTTTTGTACTTCCCCGACGTTCCGGATGACCGTGTTGCAGAGGAAATGCAGATGCGTATCTGGATCAATCTTAGGGATCCGTTTTGCTTTTTGGGGGTATGGGTTTCCTTCTATTTAGGAAACAAGGATCTTTTTTTCTTCCTAAGGGAATGTGGGCTGAGGTATGGCTCCCCATCAAGATATCGATCTCCTCACGCTGGACTATCACATCCCGGCCTGCAACGGCTTCGAGTCACTTGAAGCTGAGATCAACGATGCTTACTGGTTTTTAGTAGGGAATTTGGACATCATCTCATTTAGAGGCTATAGCTCCCCTCAAGTACATGGAATCTGGGGTATATGCGGATCTCGTTATACTATGCCCAAAGCCATATTCCATCTACTGAAGGGGGATTATATTTCCATATTCCCTCCTGACAGCCAGTAAGGATGAATGGGTCAAGGTGCCTTCTGTCCGTGATCACTTGACAGTCAACTTTGGCCTCATCTTAGCTGCTCTTACCTCGAACCGCGTGAAGGCCACCAGGCACCGCGTCGTGGCACCCCCCAAGGCTCATCAGAAGGGCTCCATGCGCATGGCCCTGCCTTACTTTATGATGCCTAGCAATGACGCCAAGATCTTGATCCCGGAGGATTCTGACCTTTGCAAGTATTTGGAGGAGTCGGAACTGAAGGAGGGTGCCACAGTCCGTCAGTTGGTACCTCGCATCCTTGCCCACTTCAAAAGAAAGTAAATATTCCGTAAGTGGTCAGCCTTGGAGGGCGCTTTCACAAGAAAGCGTCGTTTAGCAAAGTGCCTCCAGCTTGAACTAGCTGGAACTGCATCTGCATCAAATGGCGTGAGGCATCCCTTCACGTAGCAAGAGTTAACCAATCGGTTGCGATGGCGACCCTGCATGCAGAAGAAGCTTTTCAACTTGGTGGAGTCGCATATTCCCTGAAGAAAGCCGTGGCACTGCAGTCATCAGGTACATTCCGCAAGAGGTGGCGAACAGATCGACTGCGCGTCCAGATGCCATGTATCATCCAGTTGCATTTGAAAGTCCAAGCTTGGTTGGCCCAATACAAAAGGTTTACCTAGGACTTAGGGCATAGGGTTTTTAGAGCTGGTGGTCCATCCCCTCCACAGGCATATAATGCTCAGCCTACCTTGAATTATGACTGCGCCCCTTCCCCCGATGTTCAACCCCCCACAGCCCCCCCACACACATCAAATACCCCCCCCCCACCCCCAAGTATACTAAACTAGACCACAAGGGGAATATTTCAATTTGGCGGGGGGGGGCTGCGGCAGTTTTATAGTAGTGGGAGGGGATTATCATGTCCTGGCAGTTCATCGGGACAGATCTAATTCTAGTCAAAAAACTTAATTTAGGAGACCTAGGGTAGGGAGAAGAAATCTTCTTCGAGCACCCGTAGACCCAAAAGCCAAACTCCTTCTACAGAGAAATTGCACGGAGTCCCATTCAGAGCTCTTCGCGCCATGGCTCCGAAAGTCTCAGCTGTAAGCCTCATACAGTCTTACTGGCGGATTGAACCCTTATAGTGAAGTTTCCCAACATTCGGGTACTCTGGGGGGGCCCCCATGATCAGGATCTAGCATATGTTGAGTCTATATCGGGGCCACCCCCATTTCTGGAAACTACCACCGATTCCTATGAATCTGCATGTAGACCCCCATCATCATACCTGTATTTACTGCACCACCTTGATCTAAGGCAATTACAGGACGGGAGTTACAAGGTAGGGACCTCACATCAGCTTTATGTGCCCAATGTGAAGCTCCCTATCGTTAGTGGCTCTAGCCTAAATCTCCAATATTGTAGGGTCAATCCCGAGGTAGGAGACATGTACCTAAGGTGGTGCAAGATTTCTTTCTTAGACAACGGCCTGGCAGGCCTAAACCATCCAAACCATCCGAAGCCCCAAGCGCTAGCTGCTTACGTCCTGAAGCCCTAGACCATCCTAAATCTTAAGCCTAAGATCCCTTAACCCTATACTCTAGGCCATTCAGAACAGCAACTCCTATCGTTTCTACGTGGTCTGCTGGTTCATTGGGCTGGGGCCTGAGTCTTCGGTGGTTGTGCTTGTTGGTCTCACAACTGCAGCTAGGTGAGGGGTTTGGGTGTAGGGCTTACCCTAAGGATCCAAGCATACAAATACTACCTACGCACATTGGGTTATTTGGTTACCTAGGGTAGGGTTCAGTGGTAAACTCCTCGGCGGTTAGCGGAGAAGGGAGGAATGGATGTCTACAGTAGCCCCTACTAATTCCCCAGTACCATAGTGGTTTCGCATGTTCTTTTTCATTTCTTCATTCCCCACTAACAACCTTCCAGCATGGGCCTATGTCGTTCTTGTAGGAACTGATGGTTTCTCAGCACAGGGGGCGCCCAGGGAATGTAGACTATGTAGGGGTACATGGGGAGAGCAAGCAGGGGTGCCTCCCAGGGATTCTTTGGGTGTACTTCCGACAGAGTCTCAATTTTCGCTCCTTATCTCGCGTTGAGATTTCATACATTCCAACATGAGGCTACTTCAGCTTATTTTGGCTTCAGGGCTCATGCTACCTTCAAGTCTGCAACCTCATTTGATCAGAATATGGTCATGTTCTGAAAATGGAAATCAGCAATGCACTCTGCCCACAAAAGTACTGATCCCTGGCTGGTATCACAACTGTTGTATTTTCCGAACTGGTGCTTCAGAGCAAGGAAGTGACAGAACTTGCGCTAGGAGTGCCTGATGTTATGCTGGGATGCTGTTAAGGAACTTAAATTAAGTTACCATAATGGGTATGTATGTGTATATATGTAATCAAATTGGCTCCCCCATCATAGTAACTTAATTCAAGTTACTATATTTGGGAAACCATAGTCGTATATATATATATATACATACCCATTCTGGTAATGAAAGCTCCTGAACAGCAAACCAGGTTATGTTAGCTGCTTGGTTTCAGGATACCCTGACAGGCCAAGCTAGGGTTAGGAGCCTTGGATGCTTACATGGTTTGGGGTCGCGGTTTGGGGTTTAGGGCTTCAAGGTACTTACCCCTAAACCCTAGACCCTAAACTCTAAGCCGAATAAATTCCAAAACCCTATACCTTAGACCCTATACCCTAAACCCCCAAATCCGAAATCTTGGACCACATAAGCCCTGAACAGCATAAACCCTAAACTCTGTAACACCGCTCCCTCAGGTCTGCGCTGTTCCTCCTGACAATCGATTACATCGATGCCCGTTGGTCGCCCATCTGAAAGGCCACGAACCCGAGTTGCCCGGAAATTAGGGTTCAGGGTTCAAGGTGTAGGGTTTAGGGTTGAAGGTTTAGTTCAGGGTTAGAGTCTAAGGTTTAGGGTTCAAGGTTGAGGGTTTAGGGACTATATTTTATAACCGAACCCTAAGGCTCCATGTATACTTTGGATTTTGGTATTCATGATTTAGTAATTGTAGGGCACGTTCTGGATAAGTATATGAGCTGTGGTATAAACTCTTCTTAAATAGGGTTATGTACGGGATTATATTGGGAGACCATTACGGGATTGAAAAAGGGGATACTAGGAGTTTAGTTTAGACTATACTTCATAGTTTTCTTGGGCACTTGGAGGCAAGTGCTCCACATAGCCCAATGTAGGTATTAGTTATTCACCTCAGGGCCCACTCTAAAACCGTAAGCCCTAAAACCTCAAAACCCTAAACCCTAAACCCTGAACCCTTAACCCTAAAACCTCAAAACCCTGCACCCTAAACCCTGAACCCTAAACCCTAATCATTTATGGACTTAAAGCCCCAGGGTGACCTAGCCTGCATTGCCATGCTGTCAAGCGGCTGGTTATTTGTTTACTTTTTTTGTTTTTGTTGTTTCTTTTTTTTCCCGGAGGTTCATGGTTTTTGGTTACTTATACTTAGACCTTCAGAGGACAAGGCAAAGAGGCTATTGCAGTTTGGGAGGGTCCTTTTCTGGAGAGTAAACGTCTGCAGGGGCTTGCTGAAGTCATAGCTTGTACGTGGGGTTTTCAGCACATGCAGTGTGATCAGTCACGTGTGTCCAGGACTTCGAAATACATGACTACTTGGAGGGTCCGGGGGGATTTAGTAAGTAGGTTAATAATGACCTTTAAAACCCGTATAGTAAGCCCAGTTATCCCCACTATTAACCTACTTACTAAGTCCCCCTGACCCTAAACCCTAACCCCTGGACCCTAGACGCTAAACCCTAACCTACTTACTACGTCCCCCTGACCCTCCAAGTAGATGTCCCAGGAGATCTGAGATGCAAAGAGGCCCCGCCCTAAACCCTAAATTCTAACCCCTAAAACCCTAACCCCTAAACCCTAACCCCTAAACCCTAAACCCTAAACCCTAATCCCCAAGAGCGGAGCCGCTCCATGATCAGTCTTGACCTTATGCAAGGTACCTATAACCCTATAAACCCTGTAACCCTAGCCCAACGTCTCACAACGTACTATAGTCCCCCTTAAGTAGACAAAATATGGCGTATATGGGGTCTTATTGTAATATACCCAAAGCCAGATTTTTTTTACTGGAGTCTACTGGAGGGGACTATAGACTCTCAAGCCGACGTTGTTTTTTTGGTGCCTTGCTCAAGGGTCCAAGTTCCCTACATGAGGCAGCTTTACCTTCGAAGATTTTTCTGGCACTTAAACCACTACTGTTTGAGTAGCTCACTTGTTGGGTACATCCTGCAAGACCCCTAGTATAGCATGATACCATAATTCCCAGGTTTGAGGCATGTAGGGTCCTGCAGGATGTTGTCCATCAACCATTGGACCCCCAGGGCTCCCGTCCCCGATCCATTGCATGTCAGGCGGCGTGCGAGAATTGCTTTCCACGCTGATGGTGAAAACAATCAGAATGCCAAGCGAGGAGCCATCAAACTTTCAGTCCATAGATGATGCCTACTTCGAGCTTTAAAGTCTTGGTAGTATTACCTCCTTGGACATACTTAGCAGAACCCCAATCTCTGAACCGTGCTTCTGCTCAGTAGAATCTGGCACATCTTAGGCTGCGCATACGGGGTTGCTGTTCAGGGGGTTTTCTTTTTTTATAGAAGCTCAATACAACGTCCTTAACCCGCAAGCCAGCATATTCTCGGACATGGGGCTGCTGCCTTTCCTTTGTGCTCCAAGGCTTTCGTTATCCCAGCTTTTGGGCTCAGGTTTAGTGAGTGCCGGCAGTGCTATCTGTAAACTTATAGTAGAGTCCCTAGACCTTAAACCCTAAGGCCCTAACCCCGGAGCCCCCCCAGACTCTAAACTCTAAAGCCTAAACCCTGAACTGAACCCTAAGGTTTAACAGTCCAGGAACATGCGGCAGCCGACTGCTGAGTCAACTTCTAGGGAGATCCCATTATACAGAGAAAGGGTTTAGGGTTGAACAATTAGGGTTGGGCTTAGCCCCAATATAGACCCAAATACTAGGGACTCCCCCAAAAAGGTACCCCTAACTTTGGAAAGCCCCCACATAAACCCTCATAAAGGGGCCCTGTGGAGCTTCACTGACCATCCTTTTTTCTCCCAGGGTCCCCCGGGTACCTATACCAACGTTAGCTTGCTCAGATGCAGGCATTATCTTTGGGACTCTGAGACTGGAATAACATCTACTTTGGGTGCTGTGAGTTATTCATAGTACCTACTGTGGGCCATTTGGAGGCCCAGGTTCTACAGAGCATGGCAATCTTTTCAGGGCTTCGCCCGACAGATTCTTACAAAA